AGTGCCCCCCCCCCCCAGTGCTGGGATTTAGTTAAATAAATATTTGAGTGCCTCTTACACAAAGAGTACCCTATCAGACCATCAACTCAAAGCACTTATCTACAAGACAACTATACAAAACAAAATGCTTTGGGTGTTATACTTAACATACAAAATTCTGTTAAGAATTCAAAATAACACTAAGAAAATTAATGAAGCTATGTGGTAGTCTTGCAGGAAACATAAAAGATGGGGCATTCCATTTAAGAGTGTAGTATGAACAAAGGTGCATTTGAAAAACAGCAATCCCATTTGTCCAAATTTGACGGTAAAAACAGGAGCCAAAGATGAGCTGGCTGAAGGAACTTGGTACCATACAGCAGGCGGCCTTGTCTGTTGGACTGTGTGTCCTTCACTTGGTAGGCAAAGGAAGTTAATAAAAGATAAACCAACAAGGCAGCAGATCTTGGAAAGATGAATGTCAGAACTGAATAAGGGAAAACACATAAACTGCAAAAGCAGCTGTGAGAGGTCGCAGGGGCCTGAGACAAACCTTCTTTCCCTGTTTTTCCAGAATGCCATAAAGCTTCTACAGAAAAAGGGCAGCAAAAAGTATTGGGCCAGGATTCAAATCAATTAGGTCAGCTACTGGCAGACAGCAGCCATGCAGACTAACCTCCCAGATAGCATTAATCCAAGACGAAGGAAAATTGAATTAGGATAAACATCGCCCATGGCATCAGGGGGCAGGTAGTGCCAAAGTGTGCAGACTCCACCCGGATGCCACGTAACACGCAAAAGACATTGTTTCTCATACAGAATGACAAAATATTTGCAATCTGAGTTCTTAAAACAGTTATTTTTTTTAAATGGAAACCCGATAAATGAAAACACTGTCGAGTCCCAAGTGAGAGCCCAAATCCTAACCCGTGGTCGCCCCCAACCCATCCACGTTCTCCAATAGCCCAATCTCCCAACTGCTCAGCCCACGGCGACCCGCAGCCCTTAAAGGATCTCTGCCAAAGGCAGTGGAGTTGCAGAGGTGACCTTCAGTCCAGTGGAGCAGCCGCCTCCCCCCTGGGCGACGGTAAAGGGGCGTGCGGTCCGTCCCCACACCAGCCCACGCAAGCTTGCGCTAGGAGCCCCGTCGGCGGTCGGCCAGAACAGGCCCAGGCCGCCCCACCTCACGCGCCCACCGCAGGACGGGCGCCGATCCGCGCAGGGTCCGGCCTTTCGACTTCACCTCCAGAGGGCAGAGGGCTAGGGGGTGCGGGGTGGGGGCGTCGGCGGCCCCCCAAAACCTACCATGGGCCCGGCGGGAAACAAGGCCTCAACATTCACCCCAGCCACACTTACACTGCCCAACCGACCAGACTCGACGGGGGAACAAAACAAGAGGAGCCGGGGCCCGGGAGAGCGTCCCTTGTTCCCGTACCCAATAGGAGGACGGAGCGGGAGGGGAGGCGGGGGTGCGGCGCGTGTCGCGGATCCCCGGGCGCGCACGCGAGGCGCACGCGGAGGGGCGCGGGGACGCGGGCGCGC